AACACATCGTAGCTAAGGTGTGCTGAAAGCCCACCCAGATTATCCGAGCCAGGTGGAAGGAAGATATACGCAACATTTCTCTCAGCACCCTTACATGAACTTTGTAAAATATAACACCATAAAGCACTATGTCAATGTACGCTGTATTGCGCGGTCCTCACCAGAGAGATTTGCTGCAAGCACGCCACTTTTTAAAAATGGAAATTAGAATAGGGCCAAAAATTTACGATATGTCATTGACAAGTCTGTCATACTAAATACATAACAACGTTCTCATGGTTTTAGTACTACCAGTAAAACACTAAAGTTTCATCGATTTTTCACTAAACTCGAAAGATTGAAGAGCGGAAAATGTACTTCGAAGCAGCGATGTGTCGTCTGGTGGCGCGACGGCCTTCCCCCGCGGCCTTCCGGTGCCGCAGCCGCTCTCTGAACTGGCACAGAGTCGAGGGGAAAGAGCGCCAAAAAGAATACCTGGAGTCAGAATATATCCGAGAAGGGGCAGAGCCATTTTGTTCTGGTGGGCGGCTTCCTTTGCAACGCTATGACTCAACAATTTCAACTACTCAATACGAGCAACGCACTTATGTAATTGTTCTCAATCTTCTTCGTTGCGCTTGGATTGTAATGAAGGCAGCCCCCTCAGCCGCCTTGGAGCTCGTATTCTTTCCAGTGTTTTATAGTTCACTTTTCCTCAGTTATTCCAGAAGGGAAATGGGCAAATAAGGAAGTGAAAGTAAGCGACAAAATAGAAACAGACGTTGGCCGCAAGGTGCAGGATGTGAAAATGGTAGATAGCCATGACGAATCACGGCAGCGTGCCACACACTGTGGAGATTTCAACAGCAACGTTGCTTGGAAATAGAGTGTGGATGGCGCAAACTAAAAATGGCGTGCACCCTGATATCAGAGTGGTGTCGGCATCCGCTACAAAATCAGTGTCGAGCAACACTTGTAGGGCTACAACTTTTAAATTATGGCCCTTATTAAAGACCTTGGTTCCAATTTGATTCCCGTTTACCAGAAGCCGCTCTTCATGCGATTTGTCGCATTATTTTTCTATCATATTTATTAGGTGTTGCATTCTTCAATTAGACCTGTTATGTGCTTCTGTGCCACTGAGGAAATAGTGGCAAAAATGGTGCAAAGATGGCGCAACGATGGTTATGTATTTGGAGCGGTCCCAAAGCAAGATGTGTTGTGCTTCTTGCGTCATTGTTGTCAACAATGACGCGTTGCATTCACCAGTCACCAAAATATTTGATCTTCGATCGAAACGAAGCTGTCGTTTGCCTCGGCAATAAGTTAATTTCTTTTCAAAGAGACATGGAGACCATCACCCAGAGGTCGGAGCGGAGTTGCAGCAACGTTGGGGGCGTTGCTGCAGCGAGTCTGTTGATGCACTTCCTTTGACTACTGCTGCAATAACCATGCACTAACATCGTACAAGAAATTTGATGCACTTGGCAATTGATAGCTTGTTAGAACTCATGCCCCATTAGCACCAATGCGTCAGGGGCGATAACGCCGATGGAGGGCTGGTTTGCAAGGCCTGCAGCATTGTTGACAGAAGCACATCAACAAACTCATTGCATCAGAGGCCATCAGCGGTGAAATAGCAGCATCCGATTTGCGGATGCTTGACGGAGCGCTGATGAATCAGGGGCTCCCTTCTACCGCATTTTTTTGATTTCTTGTCCATAATTTGACTGCATTTTCAGCAGCAATGAACGTGCCAAATTCAGGCATGCTGGTTTCAAGTTTGAATGGTGTTCGATTTGTGAAAACCTCGTGCGGTTTGAGGAAACCATGTCGATATTAGATTACAGGTGTCATACATTATATTTTGTACATTAAAAGTATTCTTATACTTCTGGAGTATAAATTTTTCTGGTGTGTCGCCAGAGAAATGCGTTTCCCTTGTACCCGAAAGTCGACACAGGGCAGCTACAACGCTTGAAGGCTTTTGGAGCTAAATTTTTGACAAGTTTGTTTGCATGTTTAGGTCTCGCCTACAGAATGGAGAGGAGGACAGGATGTCCCTCCACGCAGGCGAGAAAGTCGTGGAAGGGGAGAAATGGATTGGAACGAGGTGGCTGCGAGAAGCGCAGTGAATATCATCCTTTGCTTCCAATTTTTGGTGTAAGAAAGATGGTACAATGTGAGCTTCATGCATGGAGAACTTTCCGTAAACATCAGTATCGCAGATAGCCTGAAAATTGCCAGGCAGCAGGGAAACAGAAGCTGCATATTAGTCAACAGAAATTTGGAACGAATGAGCGCCCTTTAGCAAAATTTGCAGGCTTATGGGCGCTTGCAGTATGATTGTGGTGTCTAGGGATTTTCAGAGGGAAGTGGCAAACGAGATTCTCTGGGAAAACACTGCTGGACCCCTGCAGACATCTAATATTTATTAGACGCCACTTGCTATAACAAGCGCATGGAAAAGAGCGTACCGAAATTTTGGAAATGTAACATATTCATTGCGATTTTGGCAAGTTTTTTCGAATCTCGTTACCTGAGGCCACTGATTGTCTCCATGCATTGTGCCAGCAGGCCTGTGCCTTTATTGCAGAACGCTGATGCGAGGATGCGATGGCCTCAGTCTGTCGCACTTGTGGCCCAACTTTCTCTGGTGGTATGCGCGAGCTGCTGCATGGCACTTGCAAAATTATCTTTTTGAAAACGGCATTGCCCCGAGTGTGCCCAGTTGGCCTATGCGATTTCCCCTATTGTGATTCTATGGGAACGTGTGACACCGTCAGCATTCGATGCACAAAATGTATGTTTTATTTACAGGGTTTATATTAAACACAAATGGAGCCCTTTTGAAAGAAGCGGCTTGCCAGTTTAGCTGAGCGTGAAGTCGTCGCCTCCTCGGCTTTTGCAATTGTGCCATTCGTCGTTTGGATGAGTGAATACAGAAAAATAAAAATGTACGAAGAAACAGACACAACAATGAAGGAGACGAAAAACCACGCTGACGGGTTTTGAAGAAACCGGTTTTGTTGAACACCCAGTATGTCGTCTAAACGTCCATAGATTTCCTGGACAGTGCCCTGAATTATGCTTGTTGCCAGGAACAGCACCTTTCGTTAACTCAGCCAAAGGGCGCCTCGCCATGTCACCTGCGAACGTCCAAAGTTGCGCTGCTTGTGGAGATTTCCTCAGAATAGATGCAGATTGAATGCTCAATGGAATGTATCACGAGCCCGGGACGGTTTAAACCTCTTCTTGATTTACAGTTTCTTTGGACAATCGCGTCAACCATGAAACCACGGGTCTGGACTCCCTTCTCAGCGTTAACTTGACATAGCCCGTAGCAAAAATTCTGTTATGTAACCCCAAACACATTGGCCAGAACGTTGTGGCTTCATCGGATATTGCCAGTACGTGCATACTTGACAGCAGGTTGTCGTCACCTAAACTTTTTCGAGTGGGAAAACCTCCGTCAGGGGCTGCAGCATAGTGAGATACGCACGGCCCGCCAGCATTGCCTATCGGGTGACGTAACATGAAAGCGTCTTCAACAAGTGCAAAACTCCAGAGCTGCAGCGATTCCAGATGGTTGATAAGTGGGGCGGTCGACTGAGACAGTTCCGAGACCTCCCAGAAGATTGGACGCTTCAGGGAGGTCTCCAACACGTCAGCACTTGTTTTATGTTTCTTGGCCTATAAGCCTGTCGATATGTCGATATCGTAGTGGCAGCCGCATAATTAGCAGTATTCTAAGGGAGTAATTGATTACGCACTTGGCTTAGCAACTGCAGTTAACTCCAGTACACCTCAGCTTGGGGAGTAGCGGTCGGCAACGCCCGTGACGCATCTTGCCCACCGCCACCAACCTGGCTGCGGTCAGTTCGACACTGAGCATTTCAAATTCGACACAGCGCAGCGCCCGGTCACGTCTCCGAAATTATGCTTCCCATGAACTTGCCTTCACGCAAATTACTGCAATTGTGCAATTGTGACAAGGCTCCCACCCCGCAGGGCAGCCACGGACGTCTGGTTGGCTGAGACAGGACGATGACAGGAGACTGCACAGTCCCCAACCGCCCAGCGTGGGACAAATTTTTCCAAACGTGCCGAATCAAGCCACATCCCACGGGACGACCAGCAGGCGACCGTCGGCTCCCAGTGTCAACCTGATCGGTGCCAGACTTGGGCAACGCGGGCAACGGGACACGAGCGTGGCACATCATGGCTGCGGCCGCTCCCTGTCGCAAGCCATGTCAACAGCCAGCCAAGAAGCATTACACACCGAAGGCATGAAAACAGCTGACCAGCGGGGCAGCCAGCGGGACCCAGCCAGCGGACCCGCGGGCTGCCGGTCGCACACACAGACGCACATCCTCAACAGCCCACCCTCCCCTCGCCCTCATTCGGGTTCAAGCCCGATTGAGGACCCGGCCGCCAATTGCCCAGCCAGCCCATTTGTCAACTCCCACTGTTATCAGCAGTGACTATACAGCCCACTGTCTACCGTCGTACAATCCGCAGCCCACTGTACGGTCTCTCGGGGGTTGCATGTAAAACCCCGAACCCTATCCCTCACTCGCGTTCAAACCCGCCTCAGGACCCGGCCCCACAACTACTCCGCCCGTCCGTTTCCAACGCCCTGCTCATCAGCAGTGACTGCAGACCCTCAGCGCACACCACCACCAAGGAACCACGCGCTCTCCACCGAGGCGCACACTACTACTTAGTAGTGTGCCTCTGGGGCGGCACCAAGGCGAGACGTGGGGCGAGTAATGGATCGAGGCGCGTGGCGGCGTGAGATCTGACGGGACCCGCGCATGGCGCCCCTTCACGTCTCCCAATTGTGCGCCCTCAGATGGGGAAATTGATTCGATGCCGGGTATCTGCGCCGCCCACACTGAGGCGCCAAAGGGCATCGGCGCCCCAGCCGGCAGCGCGGCGCGCCACCCACAGCACACGCCCCGCGGCGCCCGCCGCCCATGGCCTGAGCCGCCCCACTTCTCACAGACGTCAAGGCGAAGATGAAGGACTCGGGCGAGATGCACGATCGGGAGGGCTTCTGCGCGCGGCTGCTCCGGCTGGCGGACACCCAGCCGGACAAATTGGCCGTGGCGTGGATCGACGAGAAGGGCGTCGAGTGCGGGCGGCTGTCCTACCGCGAGCTGTTCGACGCCGCCGCCAGGGTGGCATCCGGCCTGCTGGGCAGCCAGGTGGCCGCATCCCCGGGGGACCGGGTGCTGCTGGTGTTCCCCCCCGGTCTGGACTTTCTGGCCGCTTTCGTGGGCTGCCTGCTGGCGGGGGTTGTGTCCGTGCCCGTGTACCCGCCCAACCCCAAGAAGCTGTCGACCGACCTCAAGCGCCTGTGCGCCATCAAGAGCGCGTCATCGTGCAGTGTCGCCCTCACTTCGGCGACGTTCAAGGCCGCGTCCAGCCTGCTGATGCTCAGGTGGGCAGCGCGGATGGGGCGGGCCGATCGCGGCGCCTGGGGCGGCTGTCGGCGCGGGCATTGGTAATCGCAGTTGGTGGCCATTGCGTTGCGGGAAATAGTCTCAGCGGAGGTCGGTTCCGCGCAATGCCCAGTCATGCTCATTTGGTGATGGTGCAGTGTGGCGGTTGGCCGTGATGGACGCACGAGGAATTGTGCTGGTCGGCGCAAGCGCGGTGGTTCGCTTGGGATTGGTGTTGGCGGGGGATAGCGCGGGCGCGTTGTGTCGGGGGAGGGAGGCTGTGTGGATGCCGGCGGCCTCGGGCATTTGTCATCACTCTTGGGCGCCGGCGCGGGCGTGGGCCGCTTGGCTGCCGATGGCGCGGCCCCTGTGGGCCAGAAGGGTGTTGTGCGCTGCGGCGGGCTCGGCGGATGGGCGGCTTTCGGCTCGTGGAGGGTCGAAGGGGAAGCGCATGCGCTCTAGGGTTTTGTGGGCTTGTGACTGTTGGTGACGCGCATTTCGAATCGGATTTCGGCGGCGCCATCTTTTGCCATCAGACGCTGTTGCAGCCCCAAGGCAGTTCGCGACGCCATCATTGTTGGAGCAGTCCTCGACTGGTTGCGCCTGTGCCGACTGTTGCAAACCTGTGCTGTGGCGTCGCGTCTGTGTGGCACGCAGGTTTTAGCGCTTTGCATCGTGCGCTATGTCGTGTGTGTGCATCGTGCCTTCGGAAACGTTGGCAAAATGTTTCACAACATGGCACAGAGCTTCTCGACTCTTTTGCTGGGGTTCGCGGGGCCTTTTTGTGTGGCATGTGTACCTTCTTCTTGCATTGTATCTTCTGATGTCAAACCTCAGACAGTATGCGAAGTCACAACAGCACCAAAAAGGCTAGGATGCCATGGCTCCACTCTGTTTGCAAGTAGCACAGAAACCAAAGTGCCTGAGTTGTGTGACATCGCATGCTGGTGTTGGTTCGCAACTGGGGCTTGGCCATCATGTTTGTCACTTCTCCTCAGCACAGTTGTTCGTTTCAGATGACAGGGATTGGTGTCGTGAAAGTATTTTATCGGCACAAGTCAAATAATTATTCTGTCAGCTGAATTGCAAGACCAATAAACCTGTGCACATGGCAAATTTGGTTATTGCCACACTTGTCAGAACACAACAAAGTAAACCTTCTTCGGTTTTGGCGATGCCCGCTGTGCTTTGATTCCCAGAGCCAAGTGGGAGGGACTTATGAACCTGGGCCGATGTGTGTGCATCAGCTGCCCAGGCGAATGGCCAGAAGACCTGTCCTGGTATTGCACTGACTTCCTTGGGAGCGATGCCAGCCTGTTCAACGGCTTTGGTCTGTTGAACCAGGCATGGAGCTGGGGCCTGTCAAAACTTTCTGGCCAGGACAGCAGCGAAACGCAGGACACACAGTTGCCACCCAGCGCGGTTGACTGGCATGCCAGGGCAGCGTGCTTCGATGCCTCCGACAACGTTGCCTATTTGCAGTTCACCTCGGGCAGCACGGGCACCCCAAAAGGCGTGATGATCACGTACAAGAACCTTGCTGCAAACATCCACCAAATGAATCTGTTCATGGGACCAAAGCAAAAGGATTTGGTAAACGTTTCGTGGCTACCACAGTACCACGATGCGGGACTGGTTTGTTCGACGCTGCTCGTCTTGTACGATGGAGGATCTGTGCACATGATGTCTCCAGTGACTTTCTTGCGCGACCCACTGCTGTGGCTGCTGTATATCAACAAGATGCGGGCGAATGCGACTGTGGCACCCAATTTTGGATATGAGCTCATCATCAAGAGGTGGCTGGCTTTGAAAGCTGATGAGCGGCCACCTTTGGATCTCTCGTGCGTGAAGATTGCTGCCAGCGTGGCTGAGCCAGTTTGGCAGAGCACTGCGCGGACTCTTTTCAAGGTTTTTGGACCAGTGGGCTTCTCGCCTGATGCCTTCATGCCTGGCTATGGTGGGTGTTTGCTGCACCTTAATTCCCAGAATTTGGTTGCTGAACAGGAGTTCTTGGTTTGCTTGTCCACCTGATGCATTGTGTCATTTGCTGCAACTGGTATCTGGCTGCTGATATGGGCTGCCTTCAGTGGACGGTTCCCCGCTGTTGTCCAGCTCTGGTTTAATGGTATTCTGAGTTGCACCCTGCATTGTCATGTGCTGGTTGGGAAAGACAGTGTCACAAAGATTTTGCTCCTTGGAGGAGTATGCGCTTTGTGTGACAAGTTTCCCATCTATTCAAACGACTGTCAGTATCTGCTTCTTCTTCAAACAATTGCCCAGCCCCATAGACAATGCTAGTGCAGCGCAGTGTAGAAGGCTAGTGTGGTTTTTGCCATAGCAGGGATTATATTCGTTCGAGTGCGTGGCACAGCTGGAAATCTCTTCCATTTGTGAACCTTAGATCTGGAGGTGCTTGAGGAAGGGGTGGTGACAAGCTTTGCTGTTGTGGTGCAGGCCTGGCAGAGGCGGTTGTCGCAGCCACATGGGAAAGGGGTGGCCTGATTTGCGATCCTGACAATGGCCGTGTTGCATGCGGTCCCGTGGGTTTGCCAGGGGCACCACAGATCAGAATCGTCAATCCGCAAACATGCGAGGAGGTTCCCGAACGCAGCACTGGGGAAATTTGGGTGTCGGGGCCGAATGTTGCGATAGGGTATTGGAACCGGAAAGAGTTGAGTGAAGAAACGTTCTACGCTTCCGTCAAGAGCTTGCAAGGGAAAGATGCAAGATATTTGAGGACTGGCGATGAGGGTTATGTGCGAGATGGCCACCTGTACATCTGTGGGCGAATCAAGGACATGCTCATAGTTGGGGGAAGAAATATATATGCAACGGATGTCGAGAAAACGATCCAGGTGAGAGGACAGTAGTCAGACGCTTGAAAGAGTGGGTCAAAGCAGGGTATGGGATTGTTGATTGTTTTTCGCTGGGAATTGGAAATTTGATTCAGCATATTAGTTATACGAATTGTGTATGTACAAGATGTTGCAACCCTTCTTGTCAGTGGTGTTCGTCCCTTGTGGAGTCACAGTTGCAGGAGCAGACAGCAGAACTTCTGCCAAAACAAGGAGGGGTGCCCAGTTGTGCACCTCTGACTTGAACTAGTGCATGCGCCTCAGGAAGCCTGCCCTGAGTTGAGGCCTGGCTGCATCGCTGTTTTCACCAAGGCCCTGCCAAACAGTGTAGAGCAGGTGGAGAACAAGGTGTCCGTTGTGGCGGAAGTTAAAGACTCGTGGGACACTGAGGGAGGGCATTCGCAGCTGATGGGGCGAATTGCGGGTGTTGTACAGCAGGTATTGTCCTTCGCTGTTTGTGCTGACAGAGGGCTCACCTTGTTGACTCTGGGTGGAGAATATGCAATGTTCTCTGCGTCATGTGCAACCCCCCTATTCCTGACTATGTTGCTTCCACGTAGGAAGAAAATGTGCCAGGGGAATAATGCTCTACAGAAGCATGAGTGTCTGCAGTCTATAGCGGATTGTCTGCATCATGTGGCTGCCTATCTCGCTGGATTTGCGGTATTCTTTTCTACATGGTTCTTTTCGTTATGCCAACTGTTATGAGAGCCGGTTACCAACAATCACCATGAGAGTGACCAATAGGCAACTGAAGTGCCGTGGCAAGTACAGGGGCCCCCCAGTCCTTTCAGCCCTCTGCCTTGTTGGCTAAATCCTCACCCTGCTAACCCTTCAGTGAAAGAAGTAACGTGTGCAGTTGGACATTTAGTGGATAGTGATCAGTTGGCTTTCATTGTAGGCATGCTATTGCACTCTCTCAACAATTGGTAGCTGTGCTGCCGGGGTCTGCACAACTCTAATTGTTGAGAAAATTACACAAGTGGTGTGGAATTTGGTGAATTAAAACAGTTTTGAAGTAGAAATTGCTGTATTTACTCCCAACCTACTCCCACCTTGCTGATGCCAGGCTCCCTGCAATCCCTGCAACGGCGTATTTGCTCCCAGCAGTCCATGTATGTGCTCCCTGCAGTCTGCGTATTTGTGAATTGATTGTGTGCAGCACACTGCCGCGGACCTCGTGCCTCCCAGTACACACTCTTTGCCGTCATTTCTGCTGGCAGTTCAGGAACTTGTTGCGGGTGTTTGATAGGGCCATGAAGTGCTTGTGGAAACTATCGCGCTTATTGAGCCCAGGACCATCCCAAAGACGACCAGCGGGAAGGTCCAGAGGTTTAAATGCCGTCAGCGTCTGCTGGACGGCGAGCTGACCATTGTGACAGGCGGGCTGTCAAGCGATGGCTCGTGTAGCGATATGGAAGCAGAACCTCCTGCAGACGCCTCTGATGACACAGTGACACATGGGTCTGTTGGGGAAAAGGGATGCGGATCTTCAGATGCAATGCCCGAAAGCTTCGATTGCGGAGCTTGGCTCATGAGGCTCTTCAAGAAGCATGGTGTCCGTGACTTCTCAGTGGGTTTGACAGCCAATGGCGTGCCATCTGTGTCCCTGCAGGTGTGTTGTTGACGCAGGAAAGATGGGTGCATATCTATTTTGCGTGTTGACTTTCTTGCATTTTGGACTTTTGTGAGCTGATGTTGTCCCATGTGCAGTGCAAATTGATGGCCACCTGCACATGTGACAGGCTGTATGCACAGAGCAAAACGAAATTGCAAGAAACTGTGAAGTGTATAGATGTAGCAGGTCCATTCACGTGCATGTTGATCCTGTTGCTTGCGTTTTGAGCAATTGTCTGTTTTTGGTGTGTGCTATTAAGCATCACTGGAAGAATTCATGAAGCACAGAAGCAGCACGTAACCATCGTTTAATCTGGAAGTGCAGAGATCAATCTGAATGGCCTTGCATTTGGGCCATGTTGTCTGACTTGTGTTGATGACACCCAGAAGCATGGGGTGCCTCAAAGTGACATTGCAGGCACAGCAACAGGAGAGTTTCTGTGAGGGGCTTGTACGGACTTTGCACTGTAGTGCATTCACTGAACAACAATGTTGTGCAAAGTGGGGCCTCTGTGCAGGAAGATATTGTTCCTGTTGCAACATTCCAACTTCCGGAAGTATTGGAAAGTTCTAATCAGATAGCCATATAATGGCACTTTTCATATATATCCACCTGTGCTGTTTCTCACCCATTGTTGTGTCCTGCTCAGGCTGTGCTGCAGGATATTTCTGACGTGTGCATGGTGCGACTGGACATTGCCGACTTGATGAACCACTCTGTGGAAACAATCATACAGATAATCCGCAAGCAGGCTGCCACCAGGCTCAGATTCAATGTGGCAGTGTGGTCCGTCAGGCTGCAGCAGTCGGCTTCCTATCCCAACCACCGGCCTGCCGTGGCCCTCTGGAAAAGGGCAGGCCATCTGGCGTTCAGAGAGGTTGGCCAAACGTGCGCAAACGTTTGTGCAGATATGAGAGGGGCACCCAGCCCGCAAAGCAGCCGTCCTGTGGTTGACAAGCACCATCTGTCGATGGAGCGGCGCGGCGAGGCACTGCCGTACGTGGCGCAGGTGCTGATCGAGGCTGTCGGCATCGTGCTAGTGCTGCTCTTGATGGGTGTCGCTCTGTTGCCGGGGCACCATTTTGATGCAGCAGCACCGGAGACCAGCATGACGAGCCCTGCAGCAAAATGGACGTTCCGACACCTGGTGGATGGCATCCTGGCCCCTGCTGCTTTGTTTCCGGCTTTGTTGATGTCTTGGCAGCTGTCTTTCTCATGCATAGTAATCATCACCAAGTGGGTGGTGATAGGGCAGTACAAGTCACAGTGCCTGGCCATGTGGTCTCCTGATTTTTTCCGGTGGTGGCTGGTGGACAGACTCGTCTCTGTGTGGGAGATGTTTGTCGGCAGTTTCATCTCCGGCACCTGGCTCGCGAATTTGTTCTATTACAGTATGGGAACGGATTGCCCCATTTTTCTTGCATCTATACAGTCTCCCATTCGGGAATTCGACCTTGTGAAGATTGGCAGCAATGGACAGGTAAAGGGCAGGATTTTCTGCAGGTCCTTTGCTCCAAACAGACTTTGGTTCGCACCAGTTGTGTGTGGGAAGAGGAGTGTCGTCGACAGTATGGCCGTCATAATGCCCGGCGCCACAGTCGCAGAGGATTGCACGATTGCACCACTGGCGGTGCTCTTGGAAGGCAGCCGGACGAAGCCAAACGCCATCTTTTCCGGAAATCCTGCCATCATGGTCGAAAAGAAGGGTCAGGCTCCACAGCTGATGGATGCCACAACCATGGCCTACGAGGCGCTTGTGTCGTTCATCAAGGGGGTCATACTTTTGGCATTGTTGTACATAACAGCTGCAGCAGTAGGTCTGGTGTACGTGCTGTCTGGGGAGCTGAACTTGGGCTTCGAGGGCCTTTGGGACGTACCTGCGTTCCCCTTTGTGACAGCCTACTTTGGCGGTGCGACACTTGTGGCAGCACTGAGCATTGGTTTGAAATGGGCCTTGCTGGGAAGGGTGAAAGGTGGCCTGGTGCGCAACACACTGGGAAGGCGATTGCGCACGTGGGCAGTGGATGCCGCAGCCAGAGGGCCCATGTGGATCCTCACACCGTGGATTAGGCGCTCCCCCTTGTTCAACATGTACTACCGGCTGCTGGGCATGAGGCTGCCTGTTTTTGCATCGTCTGTTGGCCCTGGGTTTGTGCCCCCTTCTGGAGCGGACCTCGTCGCTCTGGGTGAGAAGTCGTTTGCGGCCAGCGGCGTGTGCAAGGTCGAGCGGGATGTGGGCAATGGGAATGTAGAGCTGTGTGAGTGCTTGGTCCGTCCAGGATCCACGTTGGGCCTCTGGGCTGTTTGTGGGCCGGGGTTGGTCTGCGGCTACAATTCTGTGGTGGGTATTGCCACACACGCCCGGGAAGGTGTTCCAGACAATGCGATGATGATTGGGAACCCGCCAGTGCTGCTGAACAGCACCGTGCCGGATGGCGACAGGCCAAGGGATCGCAAGCTGAAGGTGGCCGACGCTAAGTTCCTGAGCGCGAGGGACGACCTGGACGTGCTCAGGACGATGGGCGTGAGGGCCGAGGGGGACACCATCAAGGCCAGCGGGGTGGTGGGCGCCTGGAGCGTCAGGCCACCTGTGCAGACCCTTGGGGGCGTGGGCTTCTGGGCGCTGGGACTGCGCAACATGTTGGGCAGGCTTGTCATGTCCCTTCTATTCTTGGCCTGTGTCGTCCTGCCTTCGTACCAGGCACTGGTTCGCCTGCACTGCCCAGAAGGACAGGGCTGCCATCCATCCCCCCTGACGCTCGTCGTCACGCCACCTCTGATGGGAGCCACCATCCTCGCCGGCTTCGTGGGAACGCTCATATTCCTGAGCAGGCTGTTCCGAGCGGCGCTCAAGCTGAGCGCGGCCGAGGTCCGCCTCCCGCTCTCCAGCCTGTGCTTCCTGATGTACTCCGAGCTGCTGGTCTTCAGCGTCCTCGGCAGAGACTACTTCTTGAACCCCTTCCTGAGCGGGACGTGCTTCATGAGGTGGCTGTACCGTGCCCTGGGCGCCCGCCTGGGCCGCCGTGTCCACCTGTCCGACCCCCCCCTCATGGACTGCCACATGCTGACGATCGGCGACGACGCCATTTTGGACAACACGGAGTGCCAGGGGCACGTGCTGGTTGGCGGGGTGCTCTCCACGTCGCCCACAAGCGTGGGGAGGGGCTGCGTGCTGCAGCCGGGCTCGGCGGTGTTTGGGGGCGACAGGGTCGAGGACGGGGCGTGGGTGGGGCCCAGGACCAAGGCCATGCCTGGGCAGGTTTTCAGCTCCGGAGAGCATTGGCATGGGGTGCCGGCATGCGCGGTCAGGGTGCGAACCGCGCCGGTACAGTAGGGTGGGTGGGGGGTGTTTGCTGCAGGTTGCATCATTGCGGGTCCCTTTTTTGGGTTTCTATGTATTGCGTTACATTTCAGTGCATCGTTTTGAGTCTTGTTGGGCCGAACCGTCCTGATTTATTGCGAGGGCCTCACATGCACATATAGAGTTGGTGCTTGTTTTGTAGGGCGTGGGCCCCAATTGGTGGACGCAATCATTCATTGCGAGAGCTTCAATTTGTGTACTTCTTTGCCGAGGACTCCGTCCGTGGTGGGCTGTGGGTTGGGCGCACTGACAGACGGGCCGAGCGTGGAACCCATTCATGTTTCTCGCCGATAGTGTAACCGATAATGTTTGTCGTAGAGAGGAGTGACCCTGGTGGTTGTGCAGCCTGTCTCCACAGTTTCGCCTTTCGCTGCATGGCGGGCGTGATTGAGGGGGCTCTTGGAGGATCGCGTGGCAGTCGAGAGGAAAACCTTTGGTCACATGGGCAGTCGTGTGCTTAGCACACTGTGCCATGTGGCGAGCCGAGAAATGAAGCCCTGCACGTCTGTTAATCACAGCCCACCTTCACCATCTTCACCTGTTGCTGTGGGAAGCGCGTTGGAGCGCATGGCAGGCAGGACTTTTTGAGTTCTCGCCATATCCACAATGGTTGCCGGCACATGCACTTCTAGGGCCATTTCACGCGAATCAACCCCTCGCTCAAAGTTTCGGTTGGGGAAGGCACCATCTTGAATTTCGTACGCTTAGCGTCGAATGGAGTCTATCGAGGGGAGGGGTCCAGGCCATGGACGCTAAGAGATTACACAATTGCACTAAGATGATAATAGCGTAAGATGATGCCCCAAAATGCAGCTGATCAGCAACAAGCAGCTCATTGCTTGCTCCACATCCTCCCCAAAGTATTATTTCTTCGTGAAGGTCCCTCTAATGTACCAATTCACAGCCTTAGGGCTGCTCCTATTGCCAGCCACGACTTTCAGCGTCCCAAATTTTAAACCCCCTACAGTCGGCGCAACTCTGACTGTTCCTTTTAAAGGATATCATGAAGGTGTAATCTCACTATTAGGTGATAGTGCTCAGTCATCCTGGCATTGAAATAAGGATTGACGCTAAGGGAGGGGGGGAGGGAGAGGGGTTCTGAGCTTAGTGTCTATTGGACGCTAAGCGTAACAAATTCCAAATAGTGTCTTGCATTGTCAAAGGCAACACGACAAGGCAGAGCTCTTGCACCTTGCATTCGATTCTTGGGCGGCCTCCAGACGCAATGCTTGTTCGTATCGGACTTTTCTTTCATTTCCACCCAGGCACCCCGCCAAGCTCACGTGAAAGTCCTAAAGGAAAAGAAAACGACTCGATTCCCAACGCTGAAGGATAGTTTTACTGTCGTGCAAGAATGGCATCCTTGCCAAGGGGTGTTGCAAATCACAAAGGCAGGACTGACCGGTGGCACATCCGCACAGGCCGCCTGTCGATCTATTGTGAATTTGTGCATACAAAGCAGCTCAGCATCTCCTGGTGCAAAAGAGATTGTGGCGTCCTTCATGGCATAAAATTACTCCCTGCATCAAATCGGTGACTGCTTGCACGAAAACGGTGACTGCTTGCACCAAGTCACGTGCACATCATGTCCAACTCCGTCAAAACTAACCTAACCTAAAACCTGAACCCTAAACCCTAAACCTAAACCTGTCCTAACCCTAACCCTAACCCTAAAACTCACCCTGAACTAAACCTAACCCTAAAACTGAGGTTAGGACAAAGTGTGCACGTGACTTGGTGCAAGCAGTCACCGATTTGGTGCAGGCAGTAATATTATTTCCGTCCTTCATACATCTGACATATCCACGGTTTGTTCTTCCCCGTCTCCCTGCTCACCTTGACACACTCCAAAGTCTCGCTGAACGTGTATCGCGGTGCGCGGGTTTGGTATTCATGAAGAGAGAAGGTTTGCTGTTGGGCAGTGAAGATTTCGTAGTGAGTTGAGTCTGACACCAAATGCCAACTGGATAATGTGGTGTCTTTAAGTCGCCCTGTGGGGGCGTTGCTGCCTTCTTACAGCACATGAACACCGCACATTTATCTAACTGATGGTGGCTTGGGCCAAGTGGCATTCAGGGCCTGCCACGGCTGCTGAGACATTAAGATGCATCTGGGCGACAGTGCTGAGGCACGGGGATGCGCGTCGGAACTTCTTGACTGTTGTGGCACCTGCTGTTTATCCAGAACCATGCAGCAGTTCCTTCAACGGGAATAGCCAATTCAACCCAACCTCCAGCTCGCACCCTCTTTTCCTGTTTTCATGCGGCATACTCAGACCCCTTGTACAGAGACTGGCGCCGTCGGAAACAATCAATTCCGTTGTGCTCGTCGCCGCCATAACATCAACGTGGCTGCAAAATGAACAGCTCCCTTTCAAAGGGAGCCAACCTCGCCATGCTCAATGAGGCCCATGCGATGAGCCGGCACACCACAATGAGCAACTGTTCATTTTCCACAGCCAGGCGAATGAATTCTTCGCGTCACAATAGGTTCCTGATACTCACTGCATGGACTCCACGGGAAGGAATCCGTGGGTCACAAAAGCAACCAGAGGGTCCTTGAACCCGTAGTCGATCACAAGTTCTTGGCCCACCTGAATGTCGCGGTCCTGCCACAGCCACGTTACGGCTTTCCTCGACGTACGATCGTCCCTGCGACCACAGGACAACACCAACAGATTGACATCCATGTACACGATCTTCATAAACACAGGCAGACAAATCAGCACAGCGGCGTGCATGGGACACAAGTTCTGTTCTGCGAACAAGACCAGTTGGGAGCACTTTTGCATGTTGAGCAACGCCCCGGGTCGACTGACAGTTGAAACGGCAGTGACCACCACGAGGATTCATGGCATTTTTTCCTTTATCTCAGGACAACGACCCCTGCGCTGCTTTGGGGCCGCACATAGTGGCAATGCGTAAACGAATGGCACCGCAGCGATGCACTGGATAAACAAGCAACAAATCAGAAGAGCTTTGGACTCACGCAACGTCACCAGGGAAGTCCCAATGGACAGAGATAGCGTCGTGTGTGTTCGTCAGCCAACGACCACTGACACCAGCGCCTTCCACTGCTCATAATACCCGACCAACGCCTCAGCTGCTGCAGCGCCACAGAGCATGCAGAGTGATGCTTGGGACACTGAAGTGCTCACTCACGTGAAGAGAGGTGGCGCACTGGCATCGTGGCCGATAAGATCTACAAGAGGCACCCAGACAGCTTCGCCCTCATCATCCATTGTGCATGACAGCGCCTGGCCTATTCCCCACAGCACGTCGCTCATGGTGACGTTCAAATCATCTCCCAGCACTTCAAACATGTTCCTGGCCTCCATTTCACGTCTTGCACGCTCCTGGAACAGCAACTGTTGCCAACCGGCTGCTTCCGACCCCAGTTGCCTAAGCTCCATCGCCACTTTGGCGGGATCTTCCAGCCACATCGCTGGTGGAGGATCAGGAAGTGAAGCCAGTGCTGGGTGCCACTCTGAGGCTTCACCTGAGAGCACACAGGAGACTTGCACGAGCTGAATGCAGATGCAACATCATTCAGTGAGGATACCTGGTATGTGTCATGGCATCTGCACAAGTGCTCTTGTTGAGTGTAAGCAACATATGCACTGCAGTGAGAAGTTGCGGACCTAAGCATCGACTTGAATGTTGCACATTTCCTTGCAGCTCCGCTACTGAAGCATGCGCAAGAGTGGCCAGGAGGGAGCAGGCCTTTGTAAGCTCTATCGCATTGCAGAAGACCCCCAATAGGCGGTACCACACTTTGCATCAACAGGGGCTGTGTGGCATGAAACAGCAGCTGTTTTTTGTTTCCAAATCCAATGCAGCCAAGAAAAGCTGGCGGGTTGGGGACACTTGAATGCTGAAGTGTTGTGCGAGGAATGGGTTTGAAAACAGCCACCCAGGAAAAGGGAAATCAGAAAACAACACCAATAAATGCAGTCACTGGGGCTACAGGATCCATTTGCAGGTATGGTATGTGAGGATAGTACCAGTTTCATGGACAGATGAACTGAAACTGCCACCTTTCAAATTTCTGCAAGGCGCACCTTTGTTTCGTTCATGTGCAAGGAACAAGCCTAGCTGGAGGTCACCATCAAAGTTGGCTAGGTTTTGCCTGGCACTCTCATCTATCTTTTCACCCAGCAGGTCTGCCGCAGAACTCGATGCCAGTACTCTGCTTTCTGGAATGAGAATGGCTGGGCATTTCAGCAGGTCGCCTGAGATGAGCTGTGTTGTGATTACACCCCTGCAGCAAGCGGCATATTGCGGATAGAGTCATCAAAACAAGCCAAACTGCGTTCAACAAAAGATCCAGCCCTGCATCACATCCTATTCTTTGTGCTACCTGTGAAGGAACAACACCAGAGGTTGCCCAAATTCGCCATCCCCCAGGCTGCTGCTAGCACCTGGCAAATGCATGTGCCTACAAAGGCTGCAACAATAGCTAATTTATGTGCAAAACTGGAGATTGTGCATCTGGTGTTCTCATTTCTTTCCCTCTTTTCTCTTCTTGGACATCACCTGGGTTTTTTTCCAGCCCAGACCTGTCAACCAATTGTGATACAAAGCAAGGCACAAAGTACACGATTCCAAACCACCATGATGTGATTTGAACACCCTGCAAATGGCTGACAACAGCACCAGCAAAAACCGCCACATATGCCCATCTTCAAACAATGGTAAAATTGGCAAGTTCTCAGTCCAGGAGCCCAGGTACAAGTCTATGAAAATCATTGAAGGTACGTGTGCCAGCACGCAGAGTGGACAGAGGAGCGGCACCCACCTTCCCCTCCTGTTGTCCTTTTTCACTAGCCGCAGTGTGTCATGAACATATCCGCCTTCCTTTCTTATCCAAGTTGCCAGGGTTTCGAATATATCATTTAGGGAAGTCTCCTCGTGGGGAGCATCGTCAGATTGTAGTGTGCTCCTTGCTGCTTGGTCCCTAGAGCCTGCAAAAGTAAGTTCATTCCTTGGTGTCAGTTTGCCTTGTCAAGACAAACTGGGAGCCTTGCACCCTGCAGACGATAATGGGCACTTTACGTCTCGCTGTATCTGATCTTCCCATCATCAACCATCAACAATTTTTCCCTTCGGGAATTACCAATGCCTTGAAATGCAGCCATAAATTGCAAAAACACATATCAGTGTTGAACAATCTAGACGGAATTGCATTTGCTGCCCCACAAACTGATTCCATGCCACGCCTTGGCGATCGCAGGTGATGGCTGTATGGCTTCTAATACAGGTTAGCATCGCTTCGCTTTTGAGACTCGAAACTGCAGAGAATCAGTGCAGTGCTCCCAGGTGGTGTCCGGCCTTGGTCCAGAAACGTTGCTACAGCAGAGGAAACTGAACTGCTTGCGCCAATGCAGTATTGGCCAGATTGGCAGATGGCTACCATCGGCAATGCATTGGACAACAACGGTGCGAAAGAATCAACGCTTGAACTCACGCACTCGTCTTCCCCTCAACCTCAACTTGAATGCAGCAGGTGTCCAGAGGAGAGATCGGGATCCGCGTGGCTCGCAGCGGGCATCAGCAGGCCTCGGCTGGCGCACGGTCTCGCCAACCCCCGCTTTCACCCGGTTGATGAAGTGGTTGGCAATCATCGCCCCACGCCGATAACAATCACCCCTGCGCCATTGAGCGGGGCTATGCGCATACGCCACCGCTGACACCGCAGCTTCCTTTCGAGGTCCCCACCGTCCTTGCCTGGAAACGCCGACAGTTGTTGCCAGGCACTTGGCTTGCTGGTCGGGCGTGCAGAGCAGACCAGGACAGCCTATGAATCAAGTTTTTTTTTTGAATTCCAATGTATTACACGAGAATGTAAACTAAGGATCTTCCCCACAAAATGTAATGTCAGAAGGACCCTTTTCCAGCAACAACCGATGTAGGGCCCAAAACATGATGGGATGTTGCACATGTTATGCAGCATAATGCACCATCACGATGTTTGTTGTCGGATCAGTTCGGTCGACGTGCTGCATATTGACCAGGCTAGCAGGTCACATAAACGCCTTCGGTACAACCATTCCTCTTTTGCGTTTTCCATTTCTGCATTCAGGTCTTGCGCGTCCTCCAAGTATAGGAATACGCAACATATGCTTGGGCCATTGTCCGAAGGTGACCAATCAATTGCTGCAGCGCAAGTTCTCACATAAACCCACAGCGACATGTTATTGTCTATCGTCTAACAATCAGTCCACGTTCATGAGGGTGTGACCCGAAACGTTTGCAAAGAGTCTTGATTTTGCGCTGCAAAAGCGAAATAGGCCGTTGATGGCCAACACTTGGTGTTCACACACACAATTCCGCTATTTTTCGAAATTCTTCGATCTGATGTATTGAGTCACATGTAGAGAAAAGGAAGGCATCTGGTGCAACCGGCACGAGGATGTGTTGGACATACAATCAGATGCTTCTCCGCGGTCTGTGCAATTTTTATTTCAACGCATTGGTGGCCAACATCGCATAGCTGTGCTCACACATGCCAATGCGCCGCCCATAAAACACACTCAGGAAGAACTTAGCTGTTCAGTAGCCTACTGAACAGGCAACGGAGGAGTGTAGCAAGAATGCTACTCTCCTTGATTAGTAGAAAAGGTATTGATGCTCAAGAATAATATTGTTCTGTTGCACCATTTTTATAATATTTAGTCCAACTTCCCTCGCTGCCTGAGATTTTGTTTCTGTGCTATTTCCCATGGTGGTTTTGCTATTCAGGGTGATCTGAGACAATGACGCAGGGTTTTAGTGCAGAGTTGGAATAGTTTTTTGTCTTTAGTACGTCTTTGTCTTGTTTTGCCACATTATTCCAGGTAGAAGCATGATATGAAGGTGATTAAAAAGACGATGTGCGCTACTAGCGGGTCGATACAATTCCAGTGAAGCCCACGAGCTTTAGCAGAAGGATGTTGCAATTGGGGAAGACGTGCAACAATCACAGATATTCTTGCAAAAGGCCAGGAAGAGATTGAACACTATGAGATAAACAGAAAAAGTTAATCGCCGAGCGGTGGAGAGCAAGTTACATTGTGCAAGACCAATACAATTTACTATTTTGCTAGGGAATTTTGCCTTACAGTATGTGGAATCGATTCAAATTGTTGTTTCATATTGCGGACTAGTACACCATCGTTCTTGCTCAATTCCATGTCGCCAATATTTTTTTGCAAGGAGTTAGATAAGTAGTTACGTTTGGAAGGAATCGCATATAGTTGATCAAGTTTGGCCAAGAGAAGTTGAAAAAAACACAACCATAGTATGAGGAGTTGCAGAAAATATGAGTGCAGCAATCCAGTGACAATGTGGCCGGACTGCTTCCCATTTTTGCACTACCAAAAAGCAAAGAAAAGAACATCGACTTGCTCTTTCCTTTTGAGTAGAAATTGCAGGCAGTTGTTGCAAAACATGAGGGAACTGTTGTTGACGGAATTGAACAGATGCAGCATCTACTAGAAGTAGACGCAAAACTCAAAGGTGGGTATGGTAATGTACAAATGTCTTGAATGTTGTTTTTTTCTCCCAAAGCCATGTGTGGCATTGACATCCAACTTGCACCAATAGTTTGGAGGCAGAGCGTGCTATTTTTTCATTGCTTCATGGACTGTGTTCTCAAGAAAAGGCTACCACCAGAGGTGGGCCATATAGGAATGGGGATGGAAGGTCCACGGGCCCATGAACGGTTGAGGAACAGCCTGTCCCTGGGCTAGAGGTGGCCACTCAAGGGTGCCATCCGGTCCGTTAAATCTTGTTCGTTAATTTTTATCAGCTGTCCGTTAAATTTCGTTAAAGAAAAAGGGAGAAAAATTCAAAAAAACGAAAAAAATCCAAAAAAATCGAAAAAACCCCCAAAAAATCACAACAACTGCGGCTAGTTGAAAATCTAGTATGCATAGGTTGAAATAAAATACAAAC